CCCCCCCCCCGCCCCCGCTCCCATTACTATGTAGTTGTTCAGAAGCTGCTGCTACTGTGTCTCCCTGTCTGCAGGGGGCGCTCGTCCCTGAGGTCCTGACTTGCGGTGTATGTGAAGCCTTGGCTTTTCTGTGGGCTCCTGTGTGTGCTGGCTGCGCCCTGAGCTCCAAGATGGCCCCCCATACCTTTTTGCTCAGCTCAGGGCCCAGGGCATCCCCCACAGCATGACTGAGGGACCCCTTCCCAGAAGGGCAGGCTTCCTGCCACCTTTGTCTACAACAGGCAGATTAATACCCTTATCCCCACCCCAGATTGAACTGTGAAAGAGGTTCCAGAGGTGTCCTTCTCAGTGCCAGTTCCTTAGTGATGTTTTATTTACCCAAGATGCAGTAGGTGTGTGCAGATCTCTTGCTCTCTAGGCCTTTGTGTGTGTATTTGTGTGTGTTTGGTGGTGGGGGAAGTGGGGTGCTGGAGCTTCTATTTCATTTTAACATATTCATTCCCCTGACCCCACAGATGCTTCCCTCCACACTTTTCCTGCCTCCCCACCCCCCCGATTTTTTTTTTGCTCCTGCTGCCTCTCTCCTTGAACTCTTTCCTTTGCCTCCCAACTCATTCAGTGCTGTTACCTGTTTCTCTCCCCTCTCCTTGTTTCTTTCCTACTTAGGCTTCCCCACTCTCTCTCTTTGTGGTTGGTGAGGACTTTGCCTCTTTTTCCACCTAACTCCTTCTCTGGCCTTCCTTAGTTAGATACTAGTCCCAAATAGGTTTTCCTCCTTTCAGGCCCACCCCCACCTCATTTTGGGGAGCTCCATGGACCAATGGGGTTAAGGGTGTTAGGAAGCAGCCTTGGTGGTTGCCTTGGTGCTGCTTGAGATTTGTCCAGCAGGGGGCAGTAAGTGATCGTGGCAGTATCCCTGACTGCTAGGCCCTTGGCAGGGTGGACCTTTCTACATTCCCATTCACCTAAAAGGTCTTTTGGGGTTGGGTGTTTCATTCCATTTCTGCCCACTCCCTCCCTGCCTCTCCTCTGGTAGATTTCATTTTATGCTTTTCTTTGTTCTGGCCTTTCTTCTCCCCTGGGGTTTCCCCATTTCTCCCCCAAAGTTTGTTTGTGGTATTATAGTGGTAACTGCAGTTCTGAACTGGTTTTCTCTTCTTTTTTTCTCCTCTGGAATGTAGACTATATGTGTTTAATAACTCACCTTCTCTCTCCTTGCTTAAAATGTGGGATACGAAATGACTGTGACCATGGTTGGAAATTAAACATGTTTTATGCAGCATTGGAGCAGACCTTCATCCTTGTGCAGCAGCCCTGGGACAGTGGTTTAATGATGAGGGTAGTTCTGTCTCTGGTCCCTGTCTCCAGACTGCTCCTTCAGCGGGGGAGTAAAGGGCACTTGACCGGGGAGAGTGAGATTATGGAGGAACTTAGGTTCATTTTCACGATTCTGCGTCTTCTCATCATATCCCGGGAGGGGGTCCTAAATGAATTGGACACCAGAGTGTGAGGGCATCATGACTTTGTTACTCTAGTTCTAAAGGGTTTAACCCTGAACTTCATATTTATCACCTGTTGGTAGACTTTAGGGACTTCACTGGCTAGAGGGCTCTGAACTTTGAGTGCCCCATATTACCTCCATTCTCACATTTCCCAGCCCTGTGCATCAGGTGTTTCTAGTTGAAATACAGATAGATAGGAATCTATAGATAGGAGGCCCCTCACCCATTTAGTTCTGGACATTGGCAGTGAATAAGCACAAAAGATAAAGATCTGGATAGTGTAATCAACTTGATTCTCCTTACAGCTGATGGTCCTGCATCCCCTCTACTTCAGGCATGGGGTTCCCCATTGTCAGGGTTCCAGCTTCATCCAGAGATTCCACAAACATTTGCGGGGGGAGGGGGTCACAAACTTTTTCATAAAGCCCATCCTACTCCCACCACTACTCTTTTCCTCTCCTGCTACTATTGTCCGGCTCTAGGCAAAGAAAGGGATGGTGCTGCCCTTGGGGTGGGTCAGGTCTAGGTGAGCCAGGCAGACATTCCCCACTCTTGCCACTTTCTTAAATTTTGGGGACAGAGGTCTTCCCACCCTGATGCTGTGGGGAAGGGACGGGATTTAGGCTTATAATAAGTTTGAGAGTCCCAAATATCAGTGTGAAGTGTATTATTGATATTCAGTTACCTCCCTGTCTCCCTTCCAGTTTTCCTTTTCAGCCCCTCTCCTGTTATTAAAATAAGCTACCATCTCAAGGACCAGTGCTTCTGCCCTTATGAAACCCTTAAACTACTCCAACCAGACATCCCCTTATCAACTCCATAAACTTCATTATTATTTTTGGTTGTTGTTAATCCTCACCTGAGGCTATTTTTCCATTGATTTTTTTAGGGAGAGTGGAAGAGAGAGGGAAAGACAGAAAGAAACATCGATGTAACACATCGATTGGTTGCCTCCTGCACAAGCCCAACCAGGGCCTGGGCCGGGGAGGAGCCTGCAACCAAGGTACGTGTTCTTGACCAGAATCAAACCCAGGAACCTTTGGTTTGCAGGCCGATGCTCTACCCACTGAGCCAAACCAGCTAGGGCTCAACCCCATAAACTTTAAACATTATCCACTTACCCCTCAAAATCTGATGACACTTTCCTTCCAGTCTTCTCAGAAGTCCTGTTTGGTGACTAAGGTTATTGATAAGTTAGGAGCTCCTTTCCCAAGTGTTTAATTTGTATATAGATACCTCTCCATAATGATAATGGAGAGGACTTCAGCTGGGTGGGAGGCCAGTGGGGATCTTTTGACCCCTGAACAAACTTGTGAAAGAGGATAATTTAGTCCCTCTGAGCCTTAGCACTCAGTTTAGGATGCTAGAAAGGAGGTAGAGGGAGTTGCTTAAACCCAGCTTCTGTGGGGGGATATGGGGGAACAAGGGGTGTGCTTGCAAAGTAAATGCTTAGCACCCAGATCTTAGGACAAACAGCAATCCTATCTTCTCAGAACATGAATAGCTCTTTTTTTTAAATTTTAAATATATTTTATTGATTTTTTACAGAGAGGAAGGGAGAGGGATAGAGAGTTAGAAACATCGATGAGAGAGAAACATCCATCAGCTGCCTCCTGCACACTCCCTACTGGGGATATGCCCGCAACCAAGGTACATGCCCTTGACCAGAATCGAACCTGGGATCCTTGAGTCCGCAGGCTGACGCTCTATCCACTGAGCCAAACCGGTCAGGGCATGAATAGCTCTTCATTTATGCCTTGTCAAGGGACTTGGGCCCAGGGTATATTTCAGGATTACCCGGGCCAGGGAACTTCCAAAAATGAGCCTGGAGAAAACCATGAAAGGCTTTGCATGGGTCCAGGTGGGATGGAGGACAGTACTGTTCCCTTCATTCCAGAGTGTGGGGGCAGTGATGGGTAGAATGAGTGTGGGTATGTATGAGTTTCTCAGAGGTGTAAGGCCTGAAGGCTCTGGGTATTCACTGCATCACTTCCAGTCCAAGTATCTAGATTGGTCAGAGCAGAAAATTGACAGGTATTCATTTTAGTACCTTCAGTTTCCAGACCTGTGCTAAGAATGGAATCAAACCACTGTACTCAGGGAAAGACCTGGGACTCCACTTCTGGGATGCTCTG